AAATAAAAGAGTATACTTCCAGTTTACTTTTTATGTACTTATCTGAGATATTAACCAAGTTTATCTTACACTACACTTGGCTTGTACTGAAAGTATACTAAATGTTTACATTTAAGTAGTCTATATTAATGTTTAAATGTTTGGAGATTAACTTTAGTAGTACACAGAAAGTTCATTTTTCACACAGACTGTTTTATTTGTTAAACTAAAAGTATACTTAGAAGATTACTTTCAGTATACTTCTGTGTAAACTTTCATAAACTTATTTTTGGGCTAATTTAGTCCTAGAAGTATACCTGTTAGTAAACTGCTAGTATACTTATGTCAGTGTACATAAAAATACACTTACACTTTTATATACTTTAAGTATGTACTTAAAGTGTACTTCGTTTTGGTAAATTTCTAAACTTAAAAACGAATTATAACAGTATACTTAAAGTATACTTTTTATAAACTAGAAAAGTCCACATTTAGTACAACCAAGTATTAAATAAGTATACTTTCTGGTACACTACAAGTACATAGTGCCTAGTATACTCGATATACTTAAACTTATACTCAAGTAAACTTATTAAAATGAACATCAAGTATTTTTGCTGAGGGAAACTAGAACTGATAAAAGTCATGGGTCACTTTTTTCTGATTGTTTTTTCAGACCTGTGGGAGGAGATGTGAATTAAAAATCCTGACAGAAACAGAGGAATAATAAASAGATCATAATAAACCACTGGCTGCAGCTTTAACGTTTTTTATTAACTTTATTTTCTCCACCTGCTCGTCAGGATTTTACAGAGTGAATGCTGTGGATCTTACATCACAGCATTATCAGCCTTTAATTATACTTCAGTGATATTTCAGACTCAATTATGTGTTTCAGTAATTATAAACATGKTAAACAGAAGGAACGTATTTTTATTTTATCAAGCCAGTTTGATAGGTTGTATGAATTAGTTTTAAATTCTGGTGAACCAAAACTCAGAAGCAGTGATGTGTTTWCAATCGCTGGCTTTTAGTCATTTTTTAAAYAATATTTTCGTCAGTTTCAWGTTACTTCAGTGAACTTTGTGAGGTTTTATTTCTTTAACAAAAGAGTAAACTAATTTAATTCTACGTGTGGTTTAAACGCTTCTGCATTTATCTCAAAGCCACACCTGGTGGTCTGATCATGGTTTGTCTGGAACCCACCTGGATCTATGTTGTCTGGTTCTTCTCACCCCCACCCTCATCATCAGAAACACGAGGAGGAGGAGGAGCAGGAGGACAGCTGGTGGATGAAGACAGGAAACACAATTTATTCACACCCAAACTGAATCAAGCATGAACGGTGTTTTGTTGTAGCTGCTAACATTAGATATGATTCTGGTCTGGGAACATCCACTGTGACCCNTTACGTGCAAATCCTAATGAGATCTGAAATTAGAGTTTATCCTCATCATAATTCATTCATGGACATCCAGAATGTTTATTGTAGATAGGAAGAATGTTATTTTAGATATCTGGAAGTAAAAGCCCAATACACATGAATGGGGAAAGTGACGTCATTTGTACTAGTAAGAATTATAATCTTCTTATCTAAAATGAACATTTTAGATGGGAAGAACGTTGTTTTAGAYGTCTGGAATGTTAATTTTGACTAGGAAGAAATGTATTTGAGGTATCTGAAATACATATCAAGCTATTAAATGTTAAAATGGCGACTTATAATTTGTAAAGATTTATAGATATCTGAAACTTAATTCTTAATGGTTCAATTTTATTTTATGACATCCTGAAATTAAGTTTCTGSTAGCAAAAACTTAATTGTAGATCTCTGTAATTTCAGTTCTGACTAGTAGGAATGTAATTTTGACTAGGAAGAATGTTATTTTAGTGAGCTACAAATGGAATAACAGAGAGGAGTAGGTTTTKAATAAWTGTTAAAACGGCCTGCCATACCAGTGTGGCACCCGTGCGCATAAATAACTGTATAAATAAATACAATCACATTAACGCAACCTGTGCGTGTTTTATTCTGAAATGCGCCTACCGGAAATGCTGAGCTTTATTTTGAAATTGCGGACAGCAGTCACCGGTCAGCAGCTACACGGCCATGGGATGACMCCGATTTATTTCCAGAACAAACATATTTCAAATCAGAAATTCACTTTAAATTATAGATAAACTGTAATTTTCGTATTTKATGCTAGCTTGTTTGTTTGAAGATCGATAGTAAAGCTAAAGCGGCAGGGCGAAACTTGTTGACAAGAAGGACTTCCTACGGGGAAGMGCAGTAGGAGTTTTCTGTGGCGGACGGAGCGGGAGTGCCGTAACACACCGTCATGGAGGACTCGGTGTCGGCCCTGGAGAAGAACGCAGCTGACCTGACGGTGATGGACGTGTACGACATCGCCGCGGTGGTCGGCCAGGAGTTCGAGCGAATCATAGACCAGTACGGCTGCGACGCTCTGTCCAGGCTGATGCCCAAGGTGGTGCGGGTGCTGGAGGTCCTGGAGGTGATGGTGAGCCGCAGCAGCATGAGCCCGGACACCGAGGAGCTGCGGCTGGAGCTGGACCGGCTGCGGTTGGAGCGGATAGAGCGGCTGGAGAAGGAGCGGAGGCAAAGACAGGTAATCACCCTGACACGACTACAATACTCTGTAACCAGTCTGTGACACTTTATCACTTTATCATGGCGGCACAGAGCTTTTAACTTCACCCATCGCCGAAAAGTGACGGCCTCGCCGTCACTTTTCGGCGATGGGTGAAGTTAAAAGCGACGGCTCGTGTGTTTGTGTGTCACCAACATATCCGCTGAACCACTCTGGACAAATTCTGATGAAGTTATCAGAAACTAATCATCGGATGAACCTCTACAACTGATTAACTTGGGGCTGTGTCTCAATTTATGGGCTGCAGCCGACGTGGGCCGTAGGCTGCGAGACTCTAGTCTACATAAGACGTATGTTTGCGTGACCACGCGCTGCCTCGTTACCATGGTAATACGTTAATCACATCAGTTGTTTTTTCAAGGTATAACTTAATAAAGCATAATGAAATAAATATCTATAGGCTATGAATAAATAATTTATTAATATATAATGTGACAATGTAATTAT